ATTTTGAAAAAAGCACCTATGGGACAACCATGAAGTGGATGATTGAGACTCTCCATGGACAAGGAACTTGTGATCTGTGTTTCTCTCACCCCTGCCTTTCCAGGGAAGATCTAAAAGAGTCTGTCATATGTTATGGATCCTTCACCTGTTCTAGAAGAGGTTTCTCAACTACTTTATCCTCAGTTCAAAGGACCTTGCTTGCTGAGTTATTCGCCCAAAAACCTTTGGACATCCGATACCATATCATTATGAATCATTCTGGGCTGTGTTGATGGTGTGTTGATCTTAGCTGACAGAAGCTTGTCCTCTGTTGGAATCTCATGTAAACTGGGTGGCCTTGACTAAGCTTACTTCATGAACTTCTTCTGTATAGTACTGGGAGGAAGAGCAGAAGAAGCTTTGAACTTCTCCGAAGCAAATGCCTATGGAGATGAATTACTCCCCTGAAGTCATGTTGAAGGAAACTGTACTGTTATAAATGGAAGTCCTGCGTCTTTAACAAGTAGGAAGCAGCAGGCAACTTAGCTTTCCTTTAATTCATCTCTGTGATGAGGAAACACCACTGATTTACAGTTACAAAGAGTAGCAGGATCCTATTTGGCCTTCGCCTTTTTGCTGTCTCCTCTTTTAAAGCTGAGTAACAAATGAGGTGTGCTAGAAATGGTTGTGTGTTCAACACCCCATCTTCGGCTGTTGCTTGGGAGAGAAAAAAGCTGCAGGTTTTGATCCAGGATAAGCTTCAGCTGTGGGCCTGCCACCCATGCAATTTTCCTGGTGAAATTCTCCAGGCTTTCTCTCCTCTAAAGGGCTCTCATTCATTCTATCTCTTCACATCTCTTCCATCTCCTTCCCTGATTTACAAGCCAGTCTCTAAATATAGTGTTATTCAGGGGTTAGTCTCTTGCCAATTGAAACCACAAGCTTTTCTTGCCCAGGGTTTAATCAAATAATTGATTTACTAGCAAAAGGACATTGTCAATGTCCTCTCTTTGCTTTGGTCCTCCCGGATCCAAATTGCAGCCAGGCCAAAAAAAAAAAAGAAAAAAGAAAAGAAACAACGTTCAGAAAGACCTTTAAAGTCAGAGGGGGGGGGGAGCATTGATTGGAAACCTTTCCATCTTAAGCGTTTAGACTCTATCCCTCTCTCTTTGAATGTCAGCTTGCTAAATGCCTGACAAGCTTGTGGCAGCTATTCAGACTTTTTCCCATCCTTAAATCAGGATAGAAATTGCATTGCAGTCATGTCAGAAGCACTGAGATCCTTCCAGGTTGAAAGGATTAGCTGGTGACATCACTGTTGGGGGGGGGGATGCCCAGTTGGGAATTCCTCACATATCCCTGGCAGGAGCTGGAACAAAGGATGGGAGCTCAACCCTGCCCCAGGGCAGCTGTTGAAGGCTGGCTGGCTACCTCCACCCCAGCGTTCTAACCAGGTGAGCCACTGTGCTCCTTTGTAGAGAGAAATGCAAAGAATTGGTCCAAGTCAAGATGAAGCTCTCTAGTGACTGGAAATTCTAGGTGCCTCAATGCATCCTGGGATCTGCCATAGGGTGTATGGTGATAACGGAAGTTCTGGGTGGATGTTGGGAGGTTATATTGGTAATCTTGTCCGTGGCACACACTAGCTTATGCAGCTTTTTGGAATGCTAGGAATATCTTTAAAACCTGTCTGAACCAATTAAGTGCAGACATGGCCCTAAACTGGAGTCTAAATAAGATTCATGGAAACATCCATAATTGGATGAGTTTCCTATCTCAGTGAGTGTCAGCTTTTAGAGGCAGACCAGACTAGGAAACCAGAGTTATGAATGCTAATATCTACTTTTATTTTAAGTTGGCAGTAGCAGAATATTGCAGTTCTGAATGTGCCTCCCTCTCCCTCCCTTTATCTTTGTAAGAACCGGGGAGGGTCAAGCCTGAGATGCTTTTTCAAATTATATGTGTGCCTTGAACTCAAATTTCTCTGGTCTGACTGTTATCTTCGTTGTGGCTTTTCGGTATAGATTAATTTTTTTTAAAAAAAGTCTACATTATCACTAAACTCTTGTGCCTGTTTAATTGTTTGTAACCTTCAATTGGGTGAAATTGTGCATTGTAGGGCAATAATTTTTGAACTATGTACCTCAAATGAGCTAACTTAAAGAATGCATCCAAAAACCGGGACCTATGACTCTCGTGAGATTGACATTTGACAGAATTATGGCCACTGCAGTGCTGCCCTGCCACCACACTGTGGCAGCCAGCCAAAATCATGTGATCATTATTTCCAGTGCTCCCTGCCAGCTTTCTACCGGGAAAGTCAATGGGGAAGCCAGCAGGAAGTCGGAAGTCACTCCCCCTGTGTTTTTTGTCCCCCCGTCATCATTCTATTTCTCTGTGTAGGCAAGGAAATATCTCTGAAATGATGACTCAACTGATCACAGGCTGTCTAGTACACAATATAAATCCATATTACAATGACATAATAAGCAAGGTAAGATTTTCTAATAACGCTATAATAATATAAGCAATTCAAACCGCTAGCTTTCATAAAACTCTACAGAGAATAATAAAAGAGAAGGTTTTGTAAGAAGCATTTGAAGGACCTTCTTAAACATCTAGAAATCAGGCTCTGCAAGTAATTCAAGAGAGGTCATTTTGTAAGAGTTGGAGCTAAATGGGATGAAGCTTTAAAACATGAGGTTGCAATTTTAACTTGAAGAAAAACTAATCAAACTTGATTGCACTATCAAACCGAGCACGCGCGAGCATGATTTGGCATCGGTGTTTTCAAATAAAGGGGTTATTGGAAGCATTGCCTGGAAATCAGCACCAAGAATGTAGACTGATGATGTTCTCAAAGATCTATCACTATAGGAATTGACAAAAAGAGGAAAAGGGAATATATGGGAAAGATTCGGGACCAACTAGATAGATCAATAAATCCTGAGTGAGTTCTTTCTAATCTAACCAAACTGAACCCACAATTTCAGGAAGGCTCAAACATAAGGTACTTGAGACCACCACTCATTCCTTCAATATGGATTCCATCTCTTCATTCTTCATCTACTCCACTTAAGTGTCCTACCTGTCACTGAGGGAACAAACCTTTTCTCCATTCCATCCTATAATTGGGTCTTCAGCAAACATCTGGAAGAGCCCGAGATTACTTCTCCAATTGTTCATTACTGTTCTGACTGTTTTAAAAAAGTTTGGAAAGTCAATTAGCCATGAAATGGAGCTTTTAAGCCTCAGTGCTGACATTATGTGTTGCGGTCCACTGTAAATCTCCATAGCTTGGCACATGGGTTTGTGCACATTGTTTAATTTGCCAGCAAGCTGCCAAGGTGTGGACCCTTGGTTTTAGTCCACCATTACTCGTATCAAGTCAAGTAACACATTATATGTTTTTTTCATTGAATACTGTGGTGTAGAAGGTGATCAGATTTGGCTTGCAAAATTGTGACATTGCATCACTGTCCCGACTTTTGCAGCCAAGATTTGATATCCTCAGTGAAGTAGAAAAAGGTATTTGAAAGAAGAGATTGGAATTCATTTTTCCCCTGTTCTTCTGAGCAGGTATTTCCTCATAATGATAAACCATAAACTCAGACGTGTTAAATATAGGTCGTTTCTCAACTCAAGAGTACAATCGGAACCAGAATTTCCATTGCTAAGCAAGGTGGCGGTTGAGTGGATCATGCCTGATTTTATGACCTTTTTCACCATGGTTGTTAAGTGAGTCACTGCAGTCATTTTTATCAGTGCCACTGTAATTTCAGATGGTCATTAAATGAATGGTTAGATGTCGAGAACTACCTGTATAATGTCTGTGTCTATATACGATGTTCAAAAACTCGTATTCCCACAACGTGCTGAATCTCAAACTAGCCAACCTTATTTTTTATGGTGGGAACAACCAGTGTGTGAGAAAAAAAAAAAGGAATTAATGGATACATGGCTGGCTGGCTGGATGAGTAAGTTCAAGCGAACCTGTCCTTCAGATTCTGTCTCCTGCTAATAGTTAGAGAAGAAACAACCTGGAGAGAGAGAGAGAGGATGGTTAGCATTGTGATTGTGTGAACCGGTCCCACATTCTTCAGAGATATGCAGTGCGACATTTGGAAAAGCTAGCCACACAGTTGCTTTTGGAGGAATTCCTAGAGACTTACAGAAAAACATGAGTTTTTATCTTAGACTGCAGAAGAAGGCTTGCTCTCTGGAGCTTGAAGTATCTGCTTTGTAAGCAGATGGTACCAATTTCAGTTCACTGCATTTTAAGGCAGGGTCAGGAAAGAAATTTGTCTTGAACCTATATGGTTCATGAAGTTTGTGATGTGCCATCAAATTTCAGCAGCAGTGTACAATTTCAGACAAACACTATCTTTTTAAAAGAGCGCCCATCCACCCCAAAACAAAAATCAAACGCAGAAATGGTAGTCAGTGGCTGGTGCAAAATTATTTCCCTTTGCACACCAGTGACTACTACTAATGCTTTTGTTTGCCCTATGTCTTTGGGAAGGAAGGGCGGATCAACCTTCATCATGGCTAGAATGAAAGGGGAGGAGAAAAGGTCCTGAGTAAACATGAAATATAAAAAGAATCATTCATGTACCGATGATTCATGTACCTTTTCTGACCATCTTCTCTGGCTAAATTTGAATAGACAAGCAAGAACCACATATTTTATTCACAAGGCTTGGGTAATGATACTGCAGAAGTTTCTAACTCACAGATGAATAGAGAGATTAATGTTAAATTTCATTCTGACAAACATTCTAAAACCCAGCAAAAAATATGCCATATTTCTTCTTGGTTTGCTACAACACAGAAATGAGAATGTAGAACATAACTCTTCGGTGCCGCCTGTCTCTAAAATGGTCTTTTAGATTGTGCAATGAAAATGACTAACTTTCCTCTACTGGAGTCTGGAGTTATATGATTTGACACTGTGTGCCTCAGTTTTGAATCTGGATGAGCACATTTCCTTGACCGGCTAAATGTTCTGTCTGGTTTTGCAGCCGCCATTTTGGATGACCCCATGGAATGCAGCAGAGGGGAGCGACTGTCCATCACACTGGCCAAGAACCGGATCAATCGAGCCCCCGAGAGGGCAGGGAAAGCCAAAGTGGAAGTGGACATTTTTGAGTTGCTGAGAGATAGTGAATATGAAACAGCCGAGACTAGTACGTACTTCTCCAGGGTTGGAGTTTGCTTGCTTGCTTAATTGATTGGTGATGTTGATGTTGAATCTTACTGAGCATATATCTTCTTGATCGTCTGTCCCTTACAAACCTTTAGGTCTTCTTTTTTTTAAAAAAAATATATTTCTATCCATGTGGGCTTCATGGTTACAATACACGGGTTTCCCATTGCGTTCTCTTGCACAGTGTGAATGCATGACTTTGCCATTGTCACTAAAATGATCATCCATCTCTAGTATATTCCTATATCACTGCTGCCCAGTAGATGTTCCAGTTGGCTTTAACTGGTCCACATCTTGGGTGAGCCTGTTGTGAATGCACACTCTTGGCATACACTGTCAAAGTTCTTTGCTTATCCCTCCCAGGAACGCCCCAACCATGAGACAACTTAATAATGCCTGGGGGAGCCTTGTGATTGTGGGCAGTGCTTAATTTCTAATGCTGTTGATGAGTGGATAGAGCTTGTGGCTAGTAAACATGGCATTTCCTGAACTAAATATCCTTTCCGTTATCTCTTGTATTAATATTCTCTAGTTCTGCAGGAATGTCCTATTATTATTATTATTATTATTATTATTTCTGTTATTTCATAATTTTGGCCTGAGTTTCCACCAGGAAGCACAAGGTATTATCCATAATTCTTTTAAATAAATGTTCTTTTATTTTTATCCTTGCAACCTTACAATCCTTAGAATCTTAGATGTAAGGCTAGGCCCATTTAGGGACTTCATTGTGGATGTCTATTGGAAGCGAAACAGGAGCAGATTACATCAACTATGCTATGATGTCATTGTGCAAAGACATCAGGTATTGATTCCATGAAAAATATAATGTTGTTTTGACTTGTAACAGATGCCTATAATTTTGGTGTAGACACTTCTTCGATTACCAAATTAATCTCTTTTCTGGATCCAAACAGAACATGGATTGATGCCCTATAAAAAAACAAAGAAGTATAGTGTCAATGCAATTGTTTAAATTAAATCCATTGCATGATTCTAACCAGTGAGTTCCTGAGCCCTTGGAGGCTTAGTGTTGCATAACTTATGCACCATCCTGGTTTTCTGTTTTTAAATTGAGTCAATGCTTAGAAAAGGAATCAAATTTGGGACATCCAACCCAGCTTATGTTGGACAGAATGACCATGCCAGCCAAGAATTTGGGGTGTTGTAGTCTAGCCTCCCGCAGCCTCATTTCTCACCATCCTTAGGCAAAGACTTGATCTTTCTACTGGACTTTTTCTTGTTATGAATTTCATCAAGGTCTATTTTAATTAATGTTTTTTCTATCTGTTGTTATTATTAGTTACCCTTATCTTCCCCTAGAGCCACAGAGTATAGAAATTAAATATCCAGGTTACTCTATCTGCAAGCACATCTGAAGGGTATCAAGATGAACAATTACACAGGGAATGGAGAACTGTGCTGCCCACAAACTTTAACCAGTTTGGTTCTTGAAATGATAGTTTGGGGATATCTTTGCTGGGCATGGACATACTACTCATGAAAGCTTGAGGAACAAAGCGGCAATGAGAAATATGAAAAAAGAGCACCCTTGTTTTCTCCTGCCTCTGGAAATCAGATATTCAGAGCCTAGATTGCTCAAACAGGAACAAAAGATGAAAAATTTGTGTGTAAACAAGAGTGAACATGGCCCCTCTGCTCTGCCATGGAAATGTGGATTATTTATCTCTTGAGAGTGCACATTCAAAAAGCAGGATTGTTTTCCTTGTGTTGAGAGGTCAGTTTGATTTCTTTTTAAAAAAATATTTCTCTTGTGTATTCAGGAAGAGCTTTATTTAGTCACGTTAGATGGTTGCCTGCTCAACAGAGCATCTCAATGGCTTAAAAACATCTAATAGAAAGGAAAATGATAAAACATACTGCATGAAAAGACAGATGCACAATTTTTATGTTTGTAAACAAGCTTATGTACTATCCTGAAGCAGCACTGAGGAAACTTTAGTCTTTAGAGCAGTATTTCTCAACCTTAAGAGCCTGAAGACGTGTGGACTTCAATTCCCAATGCTCCCCAGCCAGCCATGATGTGTGGGCATGGAGTTGAAATCCACACATCTTCAAGCTTTCAAGATTGAGAAACAGTGACTTAGGATCAGCAGGGCCAGGTCCATTGAATTTCAGGCGAAGGCTGATCCATAAGGCAGGAACTGTCATTGAGAAGGACAAAGGTGGACCCTAAGAGGTGACAATTGATGGGATCAAGATCTTATAAACCAGATAACTGGAGGCAGATGGTTGTACAAATATCCAGGACTTGAGTGACGAAGGGCTTTTTAGGCACAAACACATCTTGGATTTCATTCAGAAGTCTACTAGTAATCAACAGAACTTATGGACTAGTAGTATTGTGCCCATAATTTCTTGAACTGCTTCATACTGGACCAGCTTTAACTTATGAGTGGCCTTCAAGGACAGCCCCAGATAGAGAATATTACAGTAGTCCAACAAACGTAGATTCAGTCTTAGCAAGACTGAGGAGATCTTTCATTATTAGATGGGGTTGTACTAGTGATGCATAATTTGGAGTTTTTCCTAGATTCACAAACTTCTACTTGGAAAGTTGGTGACAACAATGATTAGGAGGCAAGAGGCTGACTCTATAAACCACTCAGAGCAGCTGTAAAGCACTATGAAGCGGTATATAAGTCTAAGTGCTTTTCATCCATGCCTACATCTTCTTATCAATAGCAGTTCAACTAGAACCAATAGGATAACTCACAACAATAAGTATTAGTACTGCTTTATAAAACCCCAGTAAGACCACTCCTGGAATATTGCAGCCAATTTTTGTCACCATATCACAAAAAAGATGTTGAGAGTTTGGGAAAAATTCAGAGAAGAGCAATTGGGATGATCAAAGGCCTGGAGACCAAAACACACGAAGAACGGCTACAGGACTTGGGTTTGGCTAGTCTAAAGAAAAGGAGAAATAGGGGAGACATGATAGCAATGTTCCAGTATCTGAGGGGCTGCCACAAGGCAGAGGGGGCCAGGTTGTTCACCAGAGCATCAGAGGGAAGGACGAGAATCAGTGGTTGGAAACTGATCAAAGAAAGAAACAACCTGGAATTAACGAGAAAGTTCCTAATGGTGAGGACAATTAACCAGTGGAACAGCTTTGTCTCCAGAAATCGTGGGTGCTCCATCACTGGAGATTTTTAAGAAGAGACTAGACATTCACCTGTCTGAGATGGTACAGGTTCTCCTGCTTGAGCAGGGGGTTGGACTAGAAGACCTCCAAGGTCCCTTCCAGCTCTATTCTATTCTATTCTATTCTATTCTATTCTATTCTATTCTATTCTATTCCATTCCATTCCATTCCATTCTAACCTAAGCCTTGATTGTACGTGTTAAGAAGAGCAGAACCCACTATAGTAACATTAAATACTTCTGCAGTTGTGACAGGACCCTGTGATGGTTGCCAAACAATATAATACAGTTTGATCGTAGGCCTGCATGCCATTCTGCTACTAAAATTGGATTCTGCCTCTAATTTATGTTGCGTATCCTAGTGAAGAACTTACAATTTCCATCATATTGTGATCGCACACTGCATACCATCACAACATCAATTGTATGGGGAGAATGGTGATAAGAAGCATTTCTCAATTAACATATTATAAACACAACATGCCACCTGTTAAGACAGTGACTTTTTTCTCTTTTTAGGAATAACTGGCTTTCTTTCTTTTCATTCCCTCCCTCCGCCCCCCTAGCATTTAACAGCTCTTAATGTACAAAAACCCTAAGAGTTGCAGCATTCCTATTGCTTTTGAAATGATACCTCCAGGATTGGGGTGGGGGGGGGGGTGAGCATAAAATACATTGCCTGGTATACAGCCAAAATGCCAGGATTAAGCAGATCCGCAGAAGAAAGATCTGTCAAGAGCAATCACTTCTAATAGCTAAATGCTCCAGAGCGATGTGAAACATTTCTGAAAACGGATAGGCTAGGATAGGATAGGATAGGATAGGATAGGATAGGATAGGATAGAGTAATGTATAGAATAGAATAGAGTAGAATAGAATAGAATAGAATAGAATAGAATAGAATAGAATAGAATAGAATAGAATAGAATAGAATAGAATAACAATTCAAGAGACAATTCACTTGAATTCTCTTCATCACTCCCCACTCATTGAAGAAATAAGCTTCAGGACTTTAACAATTTACTAGTTGTCTGGATTCTCACCATGACTGCTTGTTTATGATGTACGATAAAGCCATGTTGTGTTTTAACTAATGGCAATAAGGCTATCAGATATCTTATTTAACACCTCTGTCACATTTTAGTAAGGGTGATAGAGGTCCTCACTGGCCCACCCTTCATCCACTCCCTCCTGTTTTTCTTCACTCATTTGCTTTTTCCTCTCTTCTTCCCCCCATCATTTTAAATTGTGAAAGATGATTCACGGGGAGAGAGAGAGAGAGAGAGAGAGAGAGGATACCCTCAAAAGCCCTCTTTGATTGATAGATGGGGAGAGAAAGAAACATGAAATTATCTATTCCAAAATGCCGGGGATATCATACTTAGTCAAAGCACAGTTTTCAAAGCCTTTTAACTTTATGCAATATGTTAATTCTGCCTTTACAACAAGATTCCAGACTCCCTTTTTGAATCCTTTTGTGGGTTGAAATACTGATGAGCTCACAATCCAAGTAATGCAGGTGTTTTGTGCAGTGGAGAAGGCACTGGGCTAGAAACTTGGAGACTGGGAATTCTAGTCCCACCTTAGGCATGAAAACTGACTGAATGACTTTGAACCAATCAGCTGGAGATGAGTTCTAGTTCCACCACAGGTATGAAAGCTGTCTGGGAGATGGAACCAATCATCAGGATACAGTGATTTCTAGTCTTGCCATAAGCATGAAAGCTGGCTGGGAGAGTTTGAACCAGTCACCAGGAGAGAGTGAGTTATAGTTCCACCATAGTCATGAAAGCTGTCCAGGAGACATTGAAC